AATTGTTAAGAACTTTGTGGAAAAAAATAAGATCATTCAAGTCAAACTTTTGAGACAAAGGGAGAATGTCGACAAGCTTGCACTTTTTGACATATTGCTCAGGTGGATAACTGCGGCCCTCTTCAGACAGAATCCATTTAATAGCTCTCTTTTGGAGACTTTCTAATTTATCACTAAGTGATTTATTACAAGGGCGCCATATTATGGAACAATTTTCGAATTGGCTACGAACCAGGGAGAGGTAAAGCGCCCGGCGACGTTTCTGATCAATGACAATATGGCCATCTCTTCTGACCATACCAAGTTGTTGGCAGGCCTTAGTATAAATTCTGTCGCACTGACTATTCCAACTTAGCTTAGGAGTAACATCGACTCCAAGATCTTTTTCTAACTCTACATACACAAGAGGAGAGCCATCAAGATTATATGCGAATGGAGGAGATAAAGATGGTTTTCCTGAAACAATAAGCACTTTACATTTTGCTGGATGGAATCGCATTTTGTTTCTTAGTGCCCAGTCAGAGAGATAGTCTATATCCATTTGTAAATTAGTATTATCAGAAGATGAATGTATTTTACGCCAGATTTTTGTATCATCGGCATACAAAACAATATCAGTATTATCCGAAAGGCCAAGAGGAATATCATTGATAAACAATACAAAAAGTAAGGGACCAAGAATAGAGCCCTGGGGGACACCAGAATTAACTGAGAGGGTAGATGACATCTCATTACCAATAACCACTCTTTGGTAACGGCCTTGAAGGTAATTGGTAAGAAATTTGAGAAGTGTACCATCAATGTTATATAAGGTCTTTAGCTTATGAAGAAGGATATCATGATTTACAGAATCAAATGCCTTAGCAAAATCAAAATACACAACATGATTGATAATGTTTTCGTTAAGAGACAATGCCAGGCTATCACAAAAGTCAACCATATTGGTTGTGCATGACTTGTGCTCTAGAAAACCATGCTGCCTGGGATCAAGAAGGGTACTTGTCAAAGAAAGCAGTTTACGTTTAACAATGCGCTCAAAAACTTTCATGACTAAACAAGTAAGGGATATTGGTCTATAGTTTTCAACCTCACTTTTCTTACCTTTCTTAAATATTGGGACAACATTTGCAAGTTTCCATTCTTGTGGAATGTAGCCGCTGTTGTAAGATCCACGAAAAATGCATGTTAGAGGGTAAGCTAAACCTACGGAACAATTTTTGAGAATTTTACCGTGTATGCCATCTGGTCCCTGGGCTTTATTTGAATTAATATTTGAAAGAAGCTTACGAACATCCCGATGATCGAAGTCAATATCAAAATCAACATCATTGACATAGGAGATGTCAGTGTCATAAAGTGAAGGATCTGAAAACTGGTTATAAAAGAAAGAATTGAAAAGTTCAGCTTGAGCTTTGGGTTTGAACCGAAGCTGTCCAGAATAACTAACACAATTAGGAATACGGCAGGAGTTAGATTTATACTTAACATGTGACCAAAACTTCTTAGTTATAAGCGCTGGATCATCACTATTGAAAAGATTGTCTCTTATTTTGGCTGATGAAAGCCTCTTAAAATCTTTACGGCTAGTAACAAACTTTAACTCATCAGAAATAGAACCAGAAATTTTAAATTTAGCTCTGAGTCTATCTTTTTTACGGCATGAAGAAAAAAGTTCACTATCGAACCACGGGGGTTGAAACTCTGATTTAATAGTTACTTTAGGAATATGTATATCAACTAAATTCATAATGCAGTCTTTAACTAACTTCCAAGACGAATCAGGATCTAGGCATTCTAGGACTTGCCAATTAATCGAGCATAATTCACGATTAATCATGTCCCAGTTTGCTTTCTTATAATTATAGATTTTACGTTTAGGAGTTTTCTTGCGGGAAAAGGAGCTTTTAATTGAAAAAGTGACAGGAAAATGATCAGATTTACACACGGAATGAGGATCACAGACATTCAAGTTATCGATTGTGTTATCATAATTACTGAGAAGAATGTCTAATGTATTACCACTTTTATGGGTGGGTGATGTGATCAACTGGGAGAGAGAAAGATCACTGAAAGAATCTATGAAGGATTGCTCAATAGGTACGGTACTGGATGAAGATAGCCAGTCTGTATGGGGGAGATTAAAATCACCAATAACATAGATTTTAGGGGGATTCTTTTTGGAAACTAGCTTGCGAATATAACTAACTATGACATCATGATTAGGTAACCCAAGAGTTCCTACTCTATAACAAGTACAGATTACAATACTCTCTTTGTTAGGAAAAGCAATTTTAACGGCAAGCATTTCTGCACCTAGGCTAACTGGTAGTCGGGTTGTAGTGGCATCGAGATCAGACCGAACAGCCAAAAGAACACCACCTCCATTTTCCCTAAACTTTTTAGGGTTATTAGGATCTTGAGGATGAGTCTTTCTCGTGCGGTCATTGCGGAAGATTTCATATTGAGAAGAAGGAAAGATTTCGTTGCTAGAAATAGATTTTTTGAGCCAAGTCTCATTTAGGGCAATTATGTCAGGCTGCTCTATGTTAGCAAAGGATTGAAGTTCGGAAATCTTATTACCATCAAGAAGGGGATGGGAGGAGCTTAGGTTACTGAAAGGAATAAGACCTTGGACATTTTGGTAGAGTACAGATAGGGAGTTGGGACCTGGATTAAGCATAGAAGGATTAACAAGAGTTATCAAAAGAAAGTTAAGAGAGAAAACCCAAAGAATAAATAAAGATACTAGACGCCTGAGGCGGCTGGAATACTTGACTCTATTCATCTTACCAGGGAGAAGAACATTTCTTATAAACCATGAGGAGATAATTACAAAGAAAAGTTTGATGTGGGAGCAAGCAAGAAATGGTATAAGATAACGTGGGCTGTCAAGGAGTAGAGAGGAATGAATATTAGAATCTAGGGGGAATACGGTGTTCATGGACCTAGTCGTGGAGAGAAGAATTGGGAGAAGGTAAGTCATGATGAGAGAATAGAAGAGAAACATATGATTATGATAATTGTAGTTGATGTGTGGGGTGCATGGAGAATTAAATGTGTAAATTTTGTTAGGTATAAACGTGTTGATATGTATATGTGCATTTCTTGACTGTGTACGAGGCCTTTTGCATGCAAAAAGACCTATTCTAAGTCTAAACGATTCATTGTCTAACATATGGGAAAATGGGCAGTGACCGAATGTACCTGAAATAGGAGGCATAAAATTGAGAAAAAGATTAAATCAGAGATTTGTTTGAGTTTTAATTTTAGGCGCAACGTCTTAATCAAAATATTAAATGAAAGAAAAGATCAAAGGTTTAAATTCCCAGAGGATTATTTACAACCCTGTCAAAACTGTGTTCGTTTACAACAAACTTAAGCCAAGTGGACAGTACACCTACTCCTCTCATGTTGAGATGAAGCCAATCATGGTATAGAAGTTCATTACAGGATCTAAAGTCTCGAGTTAAAAAGTCTGAGAAACAGTCTAAGAACACGCAATTATTATTTAGGCATAAGTCTTTAAGTAGATTATTAAAATCTAGAACATTCTTTGCTATGTAGGAATATAAACACTTAATAGGAAGACAAGATTGGATAATTATAATTGCAGCGGGAAATAACTGCTTAGTGGTGTCAATTAAGTCATTAAGATACTTCCTAAGGAACTGAACCCCATACTTAGAATGTTTTATGTCATTTGTACCAACACTCAATATAATCTTTTCAATATCGTCAGCTTCTGCAGCTGCATGAGTTTTATGAAAATGCTGAATATTTTCAGTAATATCTCTAATTTTTGCACCACTTTGGGACACATTGATTACTTTCCTTCCCCGGAATCCCAACTTATTTGTCCGTACGAATTTTGTCATTGACGTACCAAACAGGACAGTGGTTTTCCTGCTCTTCGGTTTTCTTGGAGCATTTCGGTAGTAAAGGGTTGGTGTTGAGGTGGTGGTGGGCGGCATAGGAATTGTAGTGAGGACATTCTGCTCCCTGATTACATTTGTATCTGTCTTCGGTATCTGGCAGCGAAAAGATAAGCTATACCGAGTCTCCTTAGCTGATCTCTCTGCACGAACCTTGTGAAGACAGTATTCCTGACACCCCGGTTTCATAATATACAAACTACAGTCCTTTGGGGTGATATGGCATTTACTGTTACATCGCTTATCCCCATTTTCTGGAATTATGTCGAGGGTCCTCTCAGCTCCAAATGAAACTACATAAATACCTTGCGACTGGTCAAGAGACACCTCGTCGTCGTTGTGGTACCTAGTTGCACAAGAACCAGACTTGTACATGCTTGCTAGGCATGAGTTTAGCTTGCAGCCAAACTTGGAGTTGATATCATGCATAAGCTCTGATATCCCAGGATAATTTAAAATATCGATTGGCTCCTTAGTCGTGGTGTGTCCATTTGAGGAAGACCATACATATTCTTCTCCAGTGGAAGTGAGCCACTTTGTGGCAGTTTTCACAGCAGTTTGCTTGGCCATAAGTGTTTCAAGTTCAGACATCAACGTGCCATGTTGAACACTCTTGTTTTGAACAAAATCTGAATGCAACTCCAAGAAGTCCTCGCATTTAACAGAATCCCTCTTAAGTTTCATGACATTCTCAACACTGGCCTTGAGAGCTTTCAGCTCTTTTAATGAAAACGAGTTTAAAACATTGGTAACAGAATTCAGATCCATAGTGAAGGAAAGAGGGAGGAGAAGATGGCGGTGAGGGAGGAGAAAATGGCGAAGTCAATACTGTAGCCCAGGAAGTAGATGCGTTGCTTAGGATACAAACGGTCACGTCATAGTCTCTTCTATCGCTTTGACATTGGGGGTTCATGGCTTTATAAGATGGTGATCTTGGTGGGGTGAGATCATGCTGGCCAGCTCATTTCGTGCTGATACATCTTTATCTAATTATCCAATTAAGTAGATAATTAAGTAGATAATTAAGTAATTAATTAGGTATAAAGCGTGAACTTCTTCTCATTTCAGGTACCAGAGTGATGGCGGTATGGAGAAGTGCTACAATGCTACACTGAGATACCTGTGCAGGAGTCAGTTCACACAGTGTCACAAGCTTGGTAAGAAGTGTTAATTAATTAAATAATCAGTTTAATCATCTAATTTTTTAAAAACGAACCATTGTACGTTTGTAAGCACCAAAGGTTATAACCAGTGTATGATCATTAAGATACTGTACTGATAAAGCAATGTGAGATTAAGTTAGAAGGGGTTCTCGCGCGGCTCGAGCGCCTGGGCTATCAATGTCACGTGGTCTATGAGTCACGTGGGCTATCAATGTCACGTGGTCTATGAGTCACGTGGGCTATCAATGCCCCTATGTATTCGAAATATGTGATGCTAATGTAGATGGGTTGATAATCCCGGGTTCTTCCAAGAATTCAGACTTATCAGCTTCGTCAGGTGTTATTAAATCTAACCTTAAAAAGCACTTGCTATCCCTCCAAAATCGAGATGACCCTAATACATGGTAACTAATCTATATTATATCTCAAACTCTACTTCCGGTACGGCTATGCACACATGATATCTCTCTCTGCCATGAAACATGGCTAACCTTTTAAACTGTGATTCAAAACCTAAAGCTAAACTAAAACTCAACTGGGCTCTCCTTTGTCACCAAACTAAACCAATAAGTAATTTAAGATTATTATATTTTTCTATATTTGTATACTATAATTAGTATATTGACGTAGTGGATGGTTGAGGGGGTTTCAAGCACAGGTCACTCTCAAATCCTAAAGATAAGCAGTGGCCTTCGGCACTTGAAACCTCTTCAAACCTCCCCTGATTTATTTATTATTGATATTGTTTGATTGTGCCGTAAAAATAAATATTTGTTTTATTAAATATTTGTTTTATTAATGTCACGTGGTCTATGAGTCACGTGGGCTGTCAATGTCACGTGGTCTATGAGTCACGTGGGCTATCAATGTCACGTGACGAGTCATACGGCATGGCTTGTCACGTGACATTGATAGCCCACTTGACTCAAGATCCCATGTGACTCTGCGCGTGATATTTTTTATGATGGGGAATTCCACTCTGCTGTGGATATGGAAAATAAACTTGTCCTTCAGAACAATCTATAGCAGGCGGGGTTCAGCTATGTTGGTAAAGTAGTTTATCACATTTCGGTTGTTCAGAAATTTTGTTCATCACGTGGGTTCAGTTATTAATACCGTGTTGAAAGATAACGAGTTGTTAATAACATAATATATCGCACCAACCAAATCAAGCAAAATATTAAGAAAATGAATGATATTAAAAATATCAACAAAATCTATCCGTAACACATAATAATTATATAAATATAGATAAGATGATTTATCAGCATCATCATAACAGACCAATAATATTTCTGTTACAGTAAGTTCACATGGCATAATCCGAGATTATTTATCAACTGTACACATTCTATCACACGTGTCTCAGGATGTGCTGTTTCTGTACCATTATTTCATTTCTGCGAGTCCTTCCTTCTGAGATCAGTGATCGATTGTAACACTATTTACGAATACTAGCAGGAACCCGTCAAACCTTTAAGACTGGTGTCAAGGCTCTTTGGTGGCCGGATCAGTTTCCTACCCTAAAGTCTCCCAGTAAAAATAATTATTACCTATTTAATTCGCGTTTTTGACACCACTTGGGGGTCCAAATTTTGGGTACTAAAATTCTTATTCCTTGGTCGATTTTCGATTTTTTCATGCTGATTTGAAGGCCATTAAAGCATTTGAATCAGTTAAAAAAGTTTCAGTTTTATATCTTGTACGGTTTTTGCGGAAACCCGTGTTAAAGTTGATGCCGTGGTGTCAGTAAAATGGTGCGGATAAATAAATATATATATATCGTCTCGCTTTATATATAGTAAGATATTATATGAACGAAGTATTAGTGCCTAGTTCTCTATATCAGCTTAATTAATCATTGCAAGTTATGGCATATACAGATTACAGGGGTATAGACGATTTGTATAATGATCATTTGCATCAAATTTGGTGCAAAAATGTTCCGTTGGGATCCTTTTGAAGTTAACGAAGGTATGGATATTGGATACAGTCTTTATTCAGTCTTTATCCCTCCTTTATCCAGTCTTTTTTCCTTCTTCACTCAGTCTTCACTCAGTCTTCATTCAGTCTTTATTCATCTTTTATCCATTCTATATTCATTCGGCGTTCATTATTTATCCATTCTTTGCCTTTCCCCGTTGAGGTATGGTTTTAACATCTTTATAAGCTCTCAGTTCAGTTCAGTTGTCGTAATATTAGTTCTGGCACTAACACAGTTAGCTGCAGCACTAACACAGGTAGCTGCAGCACGTCTTCTTAGTCTTAACTTCTGTAAGAAATCAATAAACCCTGCGGTATCGTACAACAGCGGGTTAATGACAGAGTTTAGAGGAATGAACACGATTGAGAAGAGGGCATACCAGGGGGTGGCATTCATCACCTCAGTGTAGTGTAACATGCAGACAATAATAAAAGGGATCCAGCACAGGAAATCTGTGGTTATCATCAGAGTAATCTTCCTGTTGAGAGCTGTGTTCTTGTTGGATCCCTTATCTTTATCTGCAGCCGCTCTTTTGCTTGACTTGTCCACTATGAAGTGAATTAGAGTGTAAGAGAAAGTTATGATAAAGAAACAGATTGTATTCTGAGAAATGATTAACCACGTGTACGCTCGTTGCGGATCGTCTGGTGTCACGAAGAACTTGAAGAGGCACACACCATCGTTGCCATAGAAATGGATTCTTTTTCCAACGACTGGTCCGTTGAATGAGGTAAACATACCTTGGACAAGAGCCCTAATTTTCTGCCAGCTCAGGACTCCTTTTTGGAAGAAGAGTCCGTAATGTGTCTGGAGTAGCTTCATGTGCTGTTCTTTGTCAAGTGCTCCTACAAGCATAGGGTTACCCGGGTATACCAGACCATTTACAAAGAAATCCTCTGCTGAGCCAATCAGTGGAACAGTTGAGATGAGCAGTGAAATTAAAATAAGCAAAGCCGAAAAGCTGGCTATACTTCCTTTGATCTTCCATGTAAGCGGCATACGTCCAAGTGACTTCTTCTTTGTACAATAAACCCTGAATAGACTCAACACAGTCATGGCATAGAGGGAGAGCTGTGATCCAAATGTGCTGAGAACTCCCATCGCAGCACAGGCTCCACCAGACAGCCATTCATTGTAACGATTCTTGCAGAATGCCTGGCCGTCCGATTTGTACTTACTGTTGATGGCTGAAATAGCTATGAGGTATATTCCAACACACATGTCCCCAAGAGCAATCAGCAGGACAAACACCAGATTTGTTAGTTTGATGAATGATTTCTGTGCATAGAGCTGTTTGGCGGTGGCGATAACAGCAATAGTGTTCAGGAATGCAGCCATGATTCCCATCGTCCATGCACAGATTGTCAAAGCGAGGCTTTCTATGATCTGGAGATTGTTGCCACATCTGTCATTGCATTCATCGGATGCATCTGAGCAATCGAAGATACCATCACACTCACTTGAAACGGGGATGTATTCCCGGGAGAGTGAGCACTTAAAGTGGTTTGAACAATTATTTTCGTCAGCTCCATCTCCACAATCATCAGCTAAATTACATACCTTTTCAAATGGAATGCATTTGTTGTTCGGACAAGAAAACAGCTCAGGCGTGTAAAAGCGTCCAATGCTTGTTGTTCTGTCCTCCCCGGTATCTTGACCAATTCTTCTTTGGAACACCAAGCTCAGATATGCCTCATTGCTGTGACCTACTGCGTATGTTTTAAGGTGCTTCTTTTGTCGATATGCCGTCCTACATGATCCTACATCCAGTCTACCCCATGGACAAGCAATACTTTCATCAGAACAGAGACCTAGGCAACTGGCTACCACATATGTTTCACCATAAAGGTAACTGCAGTCCATTTTCTTTTGTGGGGCGACAACTGGCATTTGAGCTGTTACACCAAACGGCCTATCAGGATGAAACATTTCTTTTTTTGTGCAGTTGCTGGCAAGAAACTGTAAACTTTCGAGGCCAGGGAAACAAAAGAAGGATCTTCTGTAGCCATTTTTCTTATCTTCCAGCAGTTTCGTGGTAATGTCGTGATTCTTCGTGACTGAGCAGACGTCGTTTTCTCGGCCACAGCTGTTCAACTTGTCGCACAAATAAGAGAAAGGTACAATCTCTTTAGTTTCATTGCCACAGAAGTAGAAATTGGGACACGACATTCCTGCCTCAGTGAAAGATGTTGCCCATGGTTCTCTCATGTCGCCACATATTTTCCATTCATTTAAATCTTCATCCGCCCCATTTTCACAATCAACTACTTTATCTCCGATCCAGTGGTATGGAATAGGCAGCTCTCTGTTCTTACTGTCAGCTGTATATCGTCTCATACACTTAAACGATTCGCTGAGCTGACAGAATACCTCTCTCTCGTCTTCCCCTCCATCACAGTCGGGCACCCCATCACAAAGCTGGTGTTTGTGAAGCAGACAGTCGTCTAGAACTTGTTTGCAGTCACTGTCCATCCCATCATCACACATGCCTTCAAGCTCTTTGCAGATCACATATTTGGAAACTGTTGAGGGATGTCCACCAATTTGGCAGCGCATGGCAACATCAGAAATGTTCGTGCAGTTGATTTGGTCAGTTCTATCGTCACATATCCTGGAGAACTTACCAAGTTTAGGTTCAGTGCAGAGGTTTGCGTCGTTAAGTGTTACTGTTAAAGGCCCTCGCTTGCAAGTTCTCTGTTCGCATACTTCGTCGGAAGAGTCATCACATCTTGGGATACCATCACAGTTATCATCTTTCATCAGTTTGACAGCTTTGGATACTGAAGATTCTGGATCAAAATCTTGAAAACGACCCCTTACTCCATTGAAAAAGAGCGTAATATTACATATTACCTCAGTGCAGTTTTTTTCGTCTGTCCAGTCATTGCAGTCATTTGTGTGGTCACAAATCTTCTCCGGTCCAACGTAGAGATGATGATCGTCACAGACTACACCTTTTGCTGGACAGGACGCCTCATCAGAACATGCATCACATTCACAGACTTCGTCA